GGGGGTTGATTAGTAGACCGTAGTAGTAGGAGGAGAAGTCATAGTCTATCTCTATGCTACACGCACAACATGGAAGAGGTCGTAGTTAGTGAGTAGAAGTAGAATCTAGTTGCCTACACACAACATAGAAGTACATTGTACTAAATGCATAGTAGTACATGTAGTAGCTGCACAATAGTACAGTAGGTAGGCCTACTACTTCTACTACTAGCAAGTGGTCTAGTAGTAGATCTAGTACTGCAGTTGTAGTACTTTGTAATAGTATATATATGTAGTACAGTAGCTCTAGTAGTAGCAGTAGTCGTAGTAGCTTTAGTACTTAATAGAAGTAGTAGAACAATAGCACAGTAATAGGCGTACTGTGTTGTAGAAGTAGAATCTAGTTGCCTACACACAACATAGAAGTACATTGTACTAAATGCATAGTAGTACATGTAGTAGCTGCACAATAGTACAGTAGGTAGGCCTACTACTTCTACTACTAGCTAGTGGTCTAGTAGTAGATCTAGTACTGCAGTTGTAGTACTTTGTAATAGTATATATATGTAGTACAGTAGCTCTAGTAGTAGCAGTAGTCGTAGTAGCTTTAGTACTTAATAGAAGTAGTAGAACAATAGCACAGTAATAGGCGTACTGTGTTGTAGAAGTAGAATCTAGTTGCCTACACACAACATAGAAGTACATTGTACTAAATGCATAGTAGTACATGTAGTAGCTGCACAATAGTACTACATCATGTAGTAAGTGTAGTAGCCCACTGTAGTAGTAGTACGGTACTTTTGTTGTAGTAGTACATGTAGTTTTAGTAGTACCGGTAGTAGTAGTAGATCTGTCAGTACATTGTACTTGTGCTGGGCGTACAATCATAGTCTTCTGTTACAATTTCTATGGCTGGCTTAGTACTTGTATGGGACATATAATATTATTATTTATACATGTAACGTGATACGTAGGCCAACTATCTATTTCATGTATGATCTCTTATTGCATTTTTATATAACATACAATCTGCTTTCTTTTATTCCCCAGCGAGTTTGGGGAGAATAGATGGGCCCACTGTATGCCGGCAGGGGGGCATACAACTGTCACTGACCTGTGATAGATCTAGTGGAAATTCATCATGTGGAAACATTGCATTTGAAGAATAGGGAGTTGAGATTTAGATCTCTCATGATGCCATGGCATCGTCTGAACTTCCTACTGTTCCTCACCTCCACCCCACCCCCCTGTCTCTCTCTAAAGCTGTCTGTCTGTCTGTGCTTTCTCTCTCTCTCTCTCTCTCTCTCTCTCTCTCTCTCTCTCTCTCTCTCTTTCTC